AAAAGAACGATGAGGCGGTGTGCAACTATGGCATATGGCTGGCGGTCGAAATGGGCAGGAAGCTGCTCGCCAAATGTCCGGGGCTACATCTCTACACATTGAGCCAGTACTACGCTGTGCAGTGAGTGGCGTATGGTCCTTCTGGGTATTGGCGATGCTTGTAAAAATTACTTTTCTTCGAGTCTGTTCGAAGTGCGTAGCGTAGACATGTGAGATGCGGCGCGGATTGGAAATTTGGATTCTTACGGTAACACTTTATGTCATCCCGCAGTATCGCTTTAAACCGAAAGCACATGAACATCTGCAATAGAGATCATCAAGAGCAACTTGCTTGTCATCTGGTAACTATTGAGATGAGACATGGTTGACATGAATTTGCTCGCCCACAAATGTTTGCCTGGGGCATAGCTGGTCGAAACAGAATTGTTATGGTACCGGCGGTCGTTCTAGTTGAGATATGCCAAGACGTGTTGAAAATACTCATGGCAAATCGAAGCTTTTCCACCTCAGCAACCTCTTCATCAAAGGCAAGAAGGCGGAAAAAAGATTGTATTGGAAGTTCGAACGCAGCTGGCAGAACAGTTGTTGTGCCAGGTTGCATTTATCGAATAAAATCGTTGTTCTCCCAGTTGGGCACCATTGTCGGGCTGCTGATGCCGTTTAAACAGACGTAGTAAAGTTATCGAAACCAAGGAAAGCGCCATTATCTTATAGGACTCTATTCATGAAATACGGGCCTTAGCTTCTATGGAAACGTGGCAAGCAGTAGCAGGAAAGTTTCCATCCATCCATGGCATGAAACAGACATTCAGAGTCGAGTCGAGTTGTACATTTGACTTCCAAACCCTACCAACCTATGTTATCTAGTACTACCGGAAGGGCATAAGCAGACGTTTGCTTGTGAGGATTTCCTTGGGTGGGATTGCGGACCCGAAAATGACCGTATGCCAGTTTTTTCTTCTAGGCACAGTTTGCAACTGTTGTTGCAATGACCCAACTGTTACACCAATGGAACATTTAAAACTGTCCCTAAATTGTTTCATCACCGGTGCGTGATTTGGGTGAAACAATACTCCAGCGTTATCCCATCGATATTTGGCTTGTTGCCAGACT